TGATGATGATGATGATGATGATGATGATGATGATGATGATGATGATGGTTGGACAGTTGAAGTTGACAGCCGTTCTTTATGGAGAACTCTTCGTAGATGCTTTCGGGAAAGACCTCCGTGGAGCAGCAACAGAAATAGCAGCAGGATGCAGTTAAATAGATTCGTGAACCCTGTCGATTTTGAATAATTGGAGGCAAATGAAAGGTCAGGTAGGGGTGTCGGCTCCTCGCAGCGGTTTGGGCGTCGCGAGGACGCCTTGGACGATTGCATCTGAGTTGACCTAATCTCCAAGCATGTTCCGTCCGCTCCGCTGGTCCATCTGTAGAAGAAGACGAACTTGACTTGTCGTCTGCAAATCACGAACCTGAGAATTCCACTCTGCGTGTTGGTCCGAAGGATGACTCGTCTCTGCACTCATTTTAGAATCCTCCGCCAGGAAGGTGACGATGGACGAGACGAACCATGCCGATGGTGGTGACCGTGCCGAACCGAAGGTGGTGTGGCCGAAGGTCGGTGGAAGGTCTGTTGCTCAGTGGCTGAAGCCAACAGATCCCAACTGTCGAGACAGTTGCCTTTGGCAATCTCAGTGATTTTCTGGTTCTTCTCTCAATCGCACAAGGAGGGGCAGACCGGGCCTTTTGTCAGGGCCAGGGCTGCGGGTGGTGAGATTGCTGGTTCCAAGTCAGATGCGACATGGCAGCGGAGGTGAGCGCGTTTGATGGATTTCTTCGCACTGATGCGAGGTGAGCAACCTCAGCTGGGTCGGGATCCAACCTGGGATGAGGATTTGTGTTCTTTGCGATACCCTTTGCCACCTTTGCCGAATGACCACATGAATGACCACCAGGTACGATGATATTCTGTCAGGACATGTCTCTGACATCTGGAAACTCAGAGCTGAGTTCTGCTGGAATGATAGGTCGGTTGGATCATGGGTCTCTTCAGAGGTCCGGCCTCACCAAGGATGGAGCACAGAACCACGTAAACATGGGGATTTTTCCCCAAGCTGGCGATTTGTCCCACATCCTGGTGCTCAAAGCTCATGCTGCGATGGTCAACCCGCGATCGCAGGAATCAGGCCGAGTGGAAATGGACGAAGTTCCGCGCTGGCGGGCGAGGCTCAGAGCTCGGACCTTCTGGGAGAGTCGGGTGTTTTTTGGGGTTCAGAGCTCAGAGCGCGGACGTCAGCGACCTTTTTGCGGCACCACTTTTGGGTCCGAACACCCACGAGATAACTAGGTGGAGTTCCAGATTGTCCGAAAAGAAATGGTGTTGGAAGTTGGGAGGCAAGCCAACAACTTGCCCGGGAGTTTAGGCATCAACTTGATCCAGTTTCACAGGGTGATTCGAGTGATTCGTGCGCACAAGCATCTTTCTAACCGTTTGGTTCCAAAAAGCATCCAAGACGACTCACATCGACTCACTCTTTGATCGAAATGTTGGAGGTTTTGGAGGTCTCGAAAAGAAACGACCTGCCAAAAAAAAGAAAAAGAGTGCTCGCCCTTTTCATGCATGTTTTCCCACCTTCCTCCAGTAGGTCAAGCCCAGGGACGTCCATTTCTAAATGCCGCTCGTCCATAGCGGCACAAACCCCCAAGGCCATGGACCTCAAAACGCCGCGATCCGGACACCGTCGAATCGTAAAAAAGAGCCCACAATGTGGGCATCCTCTGGGGAAACATCCCAAAGTCGGGAAGTGACTCCAGCTCACCAGCGTCGTAGTCGAGAAAAGAATGGTATTTCTCGGATTCAACGCCCAAGGGAGTTGATTCGAAGTCATCAGCTTCGGGAAAAATGACTCTTTAAAAAGAAAATAGACAAAACCGAAGGAAGTGGACCACTCATGTTTCTTTCAGAACAGGTTCGCAGCCACAACATGCTCCCAAAAGCATCACGCAGATCGACTGGGGGCTTCGGGATCGTCCAGGGGCCGTCCATGATGGAGAGCGGATCCAAAAGCCACACCGGACGGATTCACAACAGGACAGAAAGGATTACAAGCGTCGTAAGTATCTCCCGCTTGAAGAGTACTCTTGGGATGACTGGTACTCGGTTCGGTTCGGTTCGGGAATGAAGCTCCAATACGGATTCCTTTGAAGATTGCCTCATTCTAAGCATCAGTCAGATGACAGTGCGATGTACGTCCATCCCTGAACTGGTTCTAATGGTTGACCCCGAGTCGGCCCTTCGATGTGTTTGTCCTTCTGCTGTTGCTTGAGATCGGGGATGGGTCAAAACCAACAAATTAGTTGTTATTTAAGAGACTCTTGATGAATAACACACGCAAACATGGATTGCAAATCCTCAAGCTTGGGGGACGAAAAAATCATCAGTTGGAGTCTACATCAGTTGGAGGCCGCTCTTGGGTTGGAGGCCATTGCTAGTAGGGCCACTGCTTCTTCCTCCGCTATCGGGACCGGAACCGAGTAGGGTCCACCGGCGTCCCACCGCCCACACTGGGATCCACGGCCAGTGCTCTGACTTCTCGCAGGCGCTGATGAGAGCATTGCAGCAAATCACCTGCGCTTAGACAGGTGAAGTGGTGCAACTTCTGCCTTATGGCGTTGGGGAAGACCTGTGGTGGCAGCAGTTGGGCAAGACCTGTTTTGGCTTCACAATGGGCCACATGGAGTCCTGTGCAATGCTGGTGAAGGAAGGCCTTTTTGTCAGACTCAAAGAGTCGTGGAGTCAGGCTCTGTCCGGACATGCCTTTTTTTTGTGCAAAGTATTGGCTCCAAGGACTACCAGAGGTAGAAGCTTGCATGATTGACCAGAAATGGCTGTGGGTGGCACCAGGGGACCCATAATTCCATTTCACTCACCAAATCAGAAAGTCCAAACCCTCATCCTTCGGTTCGCTCCACTCTTTGAGCACTGGAACGCTTCGAAGTACGGTGTGGGAGTGAAACCGGGCTGGGAGGTGAACCAACATGAATAGAACACCTGGGAGGTGAAGCCACGGTTTCCAAGCTTTGACCCACAGCCAAGTATAGAACTTCCATGTCTTGAGCCCCATGAATCAGATCACGTCTGCGTTCCCAACCATGCGCAGGATCCCCTCCCAGAAGTGTGTTAAGGGAGAATCTACAAGAAACTCACATTGTTGGGGTTGAACACCCGGGTGTCCGGTGGGTTTTCCCCCGAACCATTCCAAGGATCCCCTCTATCAACGGATCCCTTTTTGGCCCAGGTGCGTTCCGTGTAATCTCTCGGCCTTCCATGCCAAGGAAGAGTTCCTAAGCACGTGCGACGTGCCAATCACGGTGATTTCAGGTCCTTCTTCCTCCCGTGCCCATCACGGTTGGTAGACATGGCATATATCTTGGCTGAACGCACCCAGTAAATATTCTATCATATTCAAACAAGGACCGCGCTGAACGCACCCACTCAATGATGTCTCCATGTTCGCACCCTGTATAGTACGAACTATAATACGTGAAAGCGCCCACAGACAGATGCCAACCGTCCCTCTTCGTTCGTCCGTCCGAGATGCCAAGGCTTTTTGCCATTGCAAAGCCTTCTCCAAACTGCTGATGCAAGAGCTGTAAGAGATGACCTGAGCATGGAAAATCCAGGATTTCACGGGTCGGAAGAAGGATCCTTCTCACAAAAATGTCACAAAAAAAACACATATTCAAAGGATGTCAAACGGAAAGAATGGATGCTTTGTAGTGAACTCATCTTGGAGGACTGCCATGCTGCATGTGGTTTCTCTGATGGCAGGGCTATTTATATGGCAAAAGGAAAGTAGCGATGCCCTTTCTACTAGTAGCGATGCCCTTGTTGCTAGTAGCGATGCACTTGTTTAAATCTCTGTCGGTGTGACCTGTCAAAAATCGCTCGCAGGCGGAAAGAGCGAATTTCTTCGAAATGCACAGGTCAGTGAGAACGGGCTAGAGACCAACTCGAAGGTAAAAGAAAGACTTGTGTTGGAACGTTGGAACATGATTTTTATCCGGTATCTGTCCCTTATATTTAAATTGGTGTTCACTTTGCTGTCTTAACCCCCCAAAAAATATGATGTTGTCTTCCTATCACACCAAATGGAGTCCCCTTTGAAGAAGTGCCATCCCATTGTGCCAGGGTCACATCTGCCGAAGCTTCATAGCTGCTCAGGAGGCTTAAAGCCTGGGGATTTGAGGCGATGTGGAGATGTTCGATGCATTGGTCGGTTCAATGCGTCGACGCGTTGGAGCTTCACGGAGCCATCTGATCGAGACAACTCTGCCAGTGAGGCTGTCCCAAAGTCCACCGGACAAGTACAAGGTCAAGCTGGAAAAGTATTCCTGTGAATCCAGGCGACACTAGGCAACATGACAAGCCACTAGCATCAAGTAGCATTTCACAGGACCAGCCACCAGCTGCTGAGGCCCCTAAGGTCTTCGTCTAGTGATGAACGAAAATATGTGAACATAAATGACTCTTCTTAGCTGCTGAAAAAAACAGGACAGCAGTAGCAAGGGAGACAATACCTCGGACGCACTAGACTGGACAGGAAAGCTTGTGAACGTGTGAAGTTCTGACCTTGCCACCCATAAAACGTGAGCTTCCAAGAAAACCTAGGAACAAGGGGGTTCCTCAGGGGAGAGCTTGATGGCTACTAGTCAGCTGCCTTCCCGCAAAAAGACCAAACGCAAATATAAAGGGATATAAAGTAAAGATGATGGGTATTGATAGGTATTGATACCTAATCGTTTGATCTTGATCAGTGACAGTTCTCGTTCGATCCCCTTCTTGAATTGATTGAACCGTTGAACCAAACGGTCGCCCTGTCCCAAACGCTTGGCGCAGTCTTTGGGGCGCAAAACAACGGAACTCAGCGTGAAGGCGAGAGAAAAACTCCTGATACCCTGTGACACAGTGAGTCAGTTTAAGCACGAAAACAAGAAAACAACATGCGACACAAATAATGGAAGAGGCATGAAGAGGGCATGGTCTTAGTAAAAGTGACTTTCCTGCCGAGAAGGGAAGACCAAGCCCAAGCAGCGTTTAAACACAAACAAATAACATTAACTAACATTTCCGGTGTAAAACAGTCCCACGGTCTTGGATTCACCACCACTTGGCAACCAATTCCTCCCCAAAAGCTCCCACTCTTGCAGTATAAACAGCCCCTCCCACTCTGTTTTTCCACTCGTCGACCACTCCGTCGCCTGCATCCAGCAAGTGGACTTCTCGCAAGCGTTCAGCGCAGCATTCAGACCCACATCCGAAGCACCAAGACCCGAGGAAGCTGACCGGTGCTCCTGTGGTTCATGGAGAACAGGCGTCTTGGAGATGACCGTTGTCCGTTGGTATTTACCATGAAATTGGGGCATCAAGTATTTACAGTGGTGTGGGATTTTGTTGAGGAAGTGCTTGGAATCCTTGGAATCACGATGGTTCTTTTTTGGGATTTGGGGAGCAAGATAGGCTCTGGACTCCCGAACACCATCTAACTTAGAAAGTTCTGGAGAACCGTGATTCTTTCGTTTTCGGTCGTTTCCCAAGCGTCACTGGATTCTGAAAGATTCAAGCTTGCCATCTTCCCAAATAGGCTTGATCCAAGGTGCAAAGATCAGAGCATACCTCCCCGCAAATGTTGACTTGATGAAGATTCAGACCCATGATTCAACCGGATGGGGCCCGGATGGGGCCACTTCTGCGAATGGAGGGATGAACATGAAGAACTCCGCATATGCAGGACCTTACACCGAAACCTGACCAAATGAGGCTTGCAGGAGCTTCCCGAGTTCGACTTGCCTCGACAGAAACTAAGCACCTTAAGCGAGCAATAAGTGCGAACATATCTAACGAAAGCCTGAATCGAAGCGAGAACCCCAGCATCCTTGCATCAGGACAATTCATATCCGAAGAATTCCAACGCTTTTGGACGCAGGGTAGAGATGGGTAGAGCAATTTTCAGCCAATGTCTTCCTAGTGCCGGTTCTGGTTGGATGTTGAAGCGTTTGTGGCAATATGTGTGTCTCTTTCCATACCTGCAGTCGGGCTTATTCGGCCTCAGTTAGTCGAGTCGCTCTTGTTGCACTGCCCCGCAGTTTGTGCTGGTCTACAACCAACTCCTGACATCCCTCCCGCCATACTGAAACCTGCGAAGGATGGAAGAAATGGTGTTTCGAGTCAACCACTCAACCACATGTAACTAGAACACCATGTGACTAGAACAACATGTGAACTGTACAAAATTATGGTGTTTGACCCCCATTACCTGCCAGCAGATCTAATTTTAAATGGCAAGAAATCACTGAAAATGGACAACCAGTAAAAGGAACTACGCAGTGGGTTTCATCCTTTTCACGTGTTGGTTGATAGGGGAACCTAAAGGGAATCATTCGTTCATCGCTGCTAAACAAAGTTTCTCGGCCCAGACATCACTTGCAAGGCCAGGATCCAGCAACTGGAAGGCCCACAGCCACTCCCCAGCTGTGGCACAAGCGCTGATGACGGCATTGTAGCTCACCTTCGGCATAAACCGGGAACCAGTAAATCTTGGAGGCCGAGCGTCTTCGGAACGTCGCAGCAGGGGATGACCTAGAGTGGGATGAAACCAAAGCAACTGTAACTATTCTAGTAGAGGGATTAATGAGCATGATTGAACACGGCTTTTCACCCCAGGGTCGAAGATTCAAGTCTCCGATCTCCACTCAGGTGATTGGTTTTTGCAGGTGGCATCCGGTATTGGATGGTATTATATAGGTTCCAGACAATTGGAACTAATTGGAACGATTAAAAACAAACCGCAAACAAAGATATCCATGCCATGCGGCCGAGACCAGTCTAGTCTGAGACATTGTGAATAAGGTGAAGGTCTTGGAAGGTCCGCAATCCAGCTTGTTAAGATATACACGGTAAAAAAAGTGGGGAAGTGACTTACCCTGTTCAGAAGTCACTTCTCAAGTAACTTAAGTCACAGGGAAGTCCAGAAGCGTTATGCATCTGTTATGCTGCTTTAAGAAAGGCCACGCTCGTGACAAGTGCGTTAGCTCAACCACAACACATGACGGCTCACTGCTCTAGGTTCAACCGCACTCAAAGGCTGCATGTGCACTCTCAGCATTGGGATGTGTACAGAAGCCGCTCTCGTAAAAGGGACGTCCTGATCCAATGGGCACACCGACCACTGAAGGACGAGAAGCGGCGGACGACAGGTACCTCAAACAACCCCGGTACCTATGGCCCTCCCGGTACACCCATCCGGGAAACTCAATGCAATGTCTGTCAGGTATGTGGTTCACCATGGAACGCCGCGCATTCAGGAAGTCAAACAAGTCAATGCACTGATGTTCAAAACCCCATGGAACGCTGTGCATCAGCAAGTGCTCTTTCGAGTTCATTTTGGAAGGTTCAACCAATAGATCCCAATGGAACGCTGTGCACACAGCTACCTCAAGTAAGACAAGTTTACTCAAGAGAAGATGCAAATCCCCATGGAACGCCGTATGTGAACCCAGAATTGTTCAATAACATAAACCCGCAACATGGAATAGAACACGCATCTTACTTCATTTATCTTTTTTGTGAGTCAGAACATTGACCACCAGGATCTGAAGAGGAACGCAAATAAGGTGAGCTTGTTTTACCCCTTCTTCGCCCAAATCTCTTGAGGTCCTTTGCAGAACCTGGTAGCACGATTGGCCTTCCAAGTCTGCAGGAACTGCCTTCTCTTGTCCTTTGTTTTCAACAATCCTGAATCAATCACTTCTTTCCTAATCCAGAGTGAAAGAGGCTGGCCTTTGCAGACCTTAGGACGCAAATGCGACTCAACAAAATAGGCTCTGGGTTTTGCAGCCCACAGTTGAAGCAGATTTTCATATTTGAGCTCAGCAATTGTCCACAGCCTTTCCCTTTGCACTTTGCTTTCTTTGGGCTCACTTCTTTGAAAATGGAGAGCGCCGCGCTTTGCGGCTGGGGCTGTTGCTTCTCCCGCACAGTGCTAAAGATCTCTGAGGCCCTGGTGACAAAGAGTATGTCACGATTCAACGGCTGGTCTGCCTCGATTCCGATTCTTTTCCATGACACCTTTGCCATGCGAGGCCCCAAGGATCTGGATGTGAAAGCGTGCACAGCTCTGAGGGCCACACAAAGAGTGAGAGGTTCCTCCTTGTTGCTCCAACTTCTCTTGAACGCTTGCCAATCAGACGCCATGGCCTGGTGGGAGTTTTGATCTAAGGGCATTAAGGCACGCGTGCCATATGCCGGCAGATAAAACAAGCGGATGTTCCATTTCATGGCTGCTCTGAGCACATGAGCATTCAAATGCAGAAGGCAGCCGCCACCCGTATCCAGGATCAAAACCAAGCTTTGATCCATTGGAATACGAAGAACTTCCCTGGCATGTTTGCCATAGCACTCTGATACAAAAAAAAGCAAAGGAGCTTGCCGTCACACTTCCTGATGGGTTCCCCACAAACTTGGCATTAGGCAGCATTAGGCAGCGCACGGATGCACGCACGCACGCACGCATGCACGCACACATACACACAGCACCTGGTAACCGAAGTCCACGAGGTCGTCCTTCAGGTAGTTCTCCATCTGACTGCGTGCGCTTTCAAAAGAGCTTTTCGAGTGGTCATTGCGCACTGAAGCGGCGAAGACTCAGAAACCACACCCCAAAAAAAGACTTGAAACCACAAATGGCCAAAGACAGGAAAGTTTCACATGTGTGTTGCAGGCATAGAAAAGATAGGTGGGCTCCAAAGAAGTTGCAATGCAGCTGCAGCAAGGAATGGGCAACACAAAGCGGACCACACGAGATGGTCCTGGTACAGCTTGAAACACTTGTGGCTCTGAATGGTCTGGGTCTTCTTCCTGCATCATGGATGGAATGCGCTGGAAACTCCAGTCAGAAACAATGTCCCTGACACTCGCGCAGGCTCTTTGAAATCAGCTAGACCCAAGCCTTTGAGGAACGCACTGATCAAAGTCACGCCACGAACACAATGTCACTGCTCAAAAGGAAGCGACTGACAAAACGTCCTGCAATTTCTTCATCGTATCAGATAATCGGGACGATGACCGCCAGCTGTTCTTCCAACTTAGCGTCAAAGCACTAGTCACTAGACAGTTGGATTGAAACATCCACACAATGTCTCAATCTGCCTCCACCACAAGAAACACACAACACAAAAGCAACATGTGGAGCTACGTTCAGGTTCATGCCGGCAAGTAGCAAGAAGCATGCGTGATGACTTGCTCTGCTACGGCCAGTGGAGGATAGAAGCTCCAAATCCTGATCCCCACAATGAAAGACAGAAAAACCTAGGAAAGCACATGCGACAAAAAAAAGAAAGACTCAGAGCATGTTTGACCGAGTCTCGCAATGGGCCACCCAAATCTTCCAGCGAACATTGTGGTCAGGAGCATGCATCTTGGCGGAACCTGAGATGCATGAGGAAACCCTGCAGGGGAAAAATGCTCTGCTCGAAAACAACTCTAACAAAAAAAATGCCCAGCAGCACCGTACAAACAACACCCATCGCAAGACAAAGTTGATTCAGGCAAGAAACAGCCTCTGATGCTACAGTGAGTCGGAGCACCAGGAGGTGGCGTGGCCATGATCTCTGGCAAAATGCTTCAACTTTTTGAAGTCTTGCTTGGCATTGCATCGAAGAAAACGCAGGAGTTGAACCCAGCACTGTTGTCTACTTCTAAGTGTCTTGTAAATTGTCATGCCTGGCTGCCTTGCACATGGTTTGAGCGCCATGAACCTGCATTGTATGAGGCATTGTTCTTTGGTTGGCTCTCTCACCTCTCTCTCCAAAATCACGGCTTGTGAACATCTTGCATGAGAGGCCTTGTGCCTTGTAGGGCCGAGAAGCATTTACCCTCAACGAATTCTAGAGGCATCAACTTAGCCAGACCACGATGACCACGAGCACTTGTCAAGTTTGATTTTGCGCACAATGTGAAAACCAATGGTGACAAGACATGTGGCTTGAAAGCGCTTGTGGAAAACGCTTGTAAACAAACAAGCTCATCAAAACATGGTTTGCCAAACACAAAGGCAACGCAACACGCACCGACTTCCAGAACAATTCCTCCGCAGGGAAACGCAACAAAAAAACAAAACGCATCGACTTTCCAAGTAGGGAGTAGAAACCTTCATGGAGAGGTTTGCGGGGCTCCCAGGGGCTCCAGTCAGTGGAATTGCATTCCAAAGACTCCTCTCGTCTTCTCCGACTCGGTCCGTCCTTCCGTCAACGACGCTTTCCGCGGGAAAACCCGGAAACACCATCGCCGGCATAGTCGTCACTCTTCGTGAGACAAAACACATAAAAATGTGTCTTTGGGGCAGGCCGGCCTTGAGTGCCTTAAAGTCCCCACAAAGTCAAGCTTGATGCAATGTTGGGGGCCTTTTGGAACATTCACTGTGGAACTTGCCAAAGCATGCCCAAGCCATCTACATGTTGCGCCCCAACCAGCCGGCCCATCTTCACCTAAACAAGACTCCAGAAAAAACCCTAATGCCACTCAGTTCGAACCTTCGCAAACACAACTGGCCCATCTGCCACAGCAACCGAATGATCCACTCACACGCCCAACTTCGAAAAGTTCTACGAACTGAGTCCCCCACCTCAGTGGCCTTCATCTGCCACAGGCCGCTGAGCGCCCGGCGCCAGGCCCCAACGCCGCCCAAGGCGCTCAGCGCAGCGTTGCGGGCGATGGCGTTCACCGGCGACCACGACACCTGCAGCAAGGTGAAGATGGCTCTCAAAAAGGGTTGACATCTTCAGGCAAATCATGATGAGAAATAAAACACATGCATAGTGGATCATGGTGGTGTATTATGAGCTCATGCCCCCATCGCTCCCAGCATGTCCAAGGGCCAACTTAGGCCAAGATGGCCAAGTGTCAGGTTTGGCGCCCAGCAACATAATCAAACGTTCCAAACAAGATCAAAACAACTCAACTGAAGGCGGTATAAACCGCAAGTAGTGAGTTAGAGAGAGAGAGAGAGGGAGAAGTTTTCGTGCGTCAAGCCAACCAACAAACTACAGGCCATGGCATTTCTAATCATTTCTACGATCCAGACCAGTTCCCCTCGGCACCAACCGTGAGTCACACTGAGGGCTGGTGAGACTTGATCACCCTCGCCTTTAAGAGCTCCAGTGCCTCCGTCCAGGCAGAAGCCCTATGGCAAACGCTCACTAGGCCACCGCAGGTCACTGCGCTGCAGGACATCCCAAAGGCACCTGCAGGACATCCCGTCGCAGCTGGCGGGCGAGCTGGCCAGCGTTCGTGGTTTTTGCCGCAGTTCCCCGGGAAAAGTCCATTTTTCGTGGGAGCTGTGCTTGGGCCCACGAAGCTGAAGAGATAGACAAATCTGCTTTCCACAACCATTTATGTAACATCCCAGCCTCATCTTGTGTTCGTTGGGTATTTCAAACCAGGAGACCCCTTGGCCGAATGAATCCATTGCTTCTCTTTTCCCTCAAAACAAAGTCCACGCCAGGGCGCGAGTGCGCTCCACCGTCTCCAGCGCTTTCCACCAGAAACTCGAAGCGGAGACGCTGCCCATGGAGACCACGGAGCGGCGCAGGTGGAGGCCGGCGGACTGAGAGCGTCGTTGAGGTCGGCTCACTCCGAATGAGAAGACGTGGCCAAGACATGGCTAGACATGCTTTTCAGTTTCTTCCTGGGTGAAGTTCTTTCAGTTTCTAGTGGGTGAACTGTGGTCCTCTGGTGTCTTTCGGCCACGGATCCAACTTTGGATCAGGTGAAGAGTGATCAAAGTGCAGGATGTTGAATCAGGATTCGTGGGTACCTTCGTTCGGTGCTTGCATCCAGGTCCATAGGGGAGAGACTAACTGGCCTTGGAGGGCCGCGATTTGCGCTTGCCAACATGAACAGGCACGTGGAACTGAACTGAACAGGGCACAAAGGTGGAATTGACTTTTGACTATTGAAGAAGCAACTGATGTACTTGAAATTCTCAGCGTATGACCAGTCTGTTCCACATCTGTTCCACGATCCGGAAGGAAGGAGCTGCTTTTCAATCCTCACCACGCTCCTTCCTGGCCTGTCTTCTACCCATTACAGCCACGCCTCCTCCAGCAGAGCAACTGCAGTCCTTCAGGGCTGCAATGGACTTGATGCAGCCGGCTGATATATATTTGATGGCTGTCCCCAAATCTTGCAGTGGGGAATTGAATAGAGCTTCAACAACATGTCGCTTGCAACAATTGAAAAATGTCTGAAAGACATGGACACGGTAGAAAGCCTTGTCACTCAAACTGGAATTTTCGGAAACACTCTCCAGAGCCAGAGAACCCGACAGCATGATGGGGATCGATGAAGTCGGGATCGATGAAGTCGGTTTCTGACCAAAGCGACGTCCTATGGGCTACCTGCTCGAGACATGGCCGAGTCCTCCACTGGGCGACTTTTTGGTATTGGTTCATCACAGCGCTAATCAGCACGATGTCCACTTGCAAAGAGCCGCCAAGGCTGCTCCTGGCGCCCACAGAATGACAGGACCCTCTGAAATGGGAGTTCAACACTCACAATACGTGGATTTGGATGGTGTGCCTTCAAGGTACTTCAACTGGTGTGCCGAACTTGAAGGATAAGGGTGTGCAGAACATCACATCACTGGATGGGACTAAAACACCTTCCTTTGGAACTACTGGTTGGACGACCTTTCAACCATGCATCATCCAACAAAGCTACCTGGTTACGCTCATTCACCTATGACTGCTCGTCAGCCCCCTCCCGAAAGAAGTCTGCTACAAGCTACCAGGCTCATCACCTACCAACCTGGCATGGTGCGTCTTGAATCTCCAGAACCATCAAGTCCAGTGGAAAAGTATAGAAAAAGTGCATCTCACAACATCGGAAAATTGCCTCCTTTTCGGGGAGGTGAAGGACAACATCTATCGAAGATTGGTGGATCGCCTCCTTTGGGGGGAGGATCCCACTCCTGTTTGCTCGTGAAACAACCCGCCTTCCCCCCTCGTTTTGCCTACGCTCACACGCTCACACGCTGGCCTGGCCTGATCAGCTCCTGCGCCTCGCGCCATCCGCAGCGGCCCACCAAGCTGATTCCACCCACCACGTCCATGGGGCGCCGACCGTCTCGCGTCCAGTCCAGCGCCGTGGCCCAGCCGGTGGGGAGGCCGAAGACCTAAGGCCATCGCCACGTCGGGGTCGTTCAGCCGAGTTGGGCTAAAGAGTTGGCTGGAAAGAAGTGATCCAAGGCTCCAAGGGCACCATGTTTTGGAGCAAAAAACAACATCAAATGTGCAAATACCTGGAAAATTTGGACAGGCGGGCTCCCTATGTACTCTTGAGTGACAAAAAGAACTCGGCGAAGAACGCGGGACATCTTCCTTTCGAATCCTTCATCCTTCAGGCCAGGCGACTGTGTTGGCGGTGACACTCGTTGCCTTGAGGGTCGCAAGGAAGATGTCTCCCAACAACTGCAGCGCCTCCGGCCACCTCAACCAGATGTCTTCGACGCGTCATTTCCGCGCTTTCATGGCCCAAAGATGAGCAACACGTTTAAAAAGGTGCTCCGGACATGCAGTGAATCGAAAGCTCCAATGCTTAGATTTACATGGATTCATTGGTTGTAATGTGGTCCCAGAGTCTCAGCAGAGAGTGTGCGGAGTTCCACAAGCTCGACACTGCATACACTATACAGTATACACGTCTACACAGATCACACATGGGGAGCAATGAGCAGTTTCACCTCTTCTGATGTCAGAGCTCGTCACATTGCTCCTCTTTCTACTACTTCTTACTACCTCTCGCGCTCGAATCCACGAGTGAAACGTGGAAGGAGCGTGTTACAACACGGGCAAAATCAGGCAAAGCCACGTCACGGATGGAGAGTTCTGCGTTTCGTCTGTTAATGTATTTAATGAATCTTCTTGCATCAGAATGGTCGGGTATGGCTCCCTTCATGCTACATTCCGACTCACTAATTAACATGGACCTGGAAAATGGGCGCTAAAAAACACTACTTCCCTCAAAAAAATGGTTTTCCAGTGAGCAGCTTAGGGTACTTCTTACACTGCCGAGGCCTGATGCCAGGGTCCCGACCGCCCGATCCCCCACGCACCCCGTGTGGTTAACGCGTCACGATGCGTAACGCGTCACGCGCCCAAGCCGGGCCTCTGGGATTTGCCACACACGTTCAGAACCTCAAAGTTCCCAACCGAATTTGGATGCCATCGCTAGTATGGTCCCAATGGTGCTGGAAAGGATGGTGTTCAGCAGGTTTGGCTATACATCTTATACATCCGGCTTGCTTTTGCAGCTTTTGGTAAACAAGCGCGTAGTCCTTGTCAGACATGTGTTTCTTCTGCTTGGAAGACTTTCGACCCGCACCCGCACGGTCCACAAGTTGTGCGGCCAAAAGCGGCCGAGTTCAAGATCATCACATCAGCGCGCAGCCCATCGCTGCCCATCGGGCCCAGAAGGCCTGGGGGACCCGTTTGACCGGTGTTTTGATAGGAAAAGACCAGGCTCCAAAACAAGGGGTCAAATCAGGTTATAATATCTGGGGTTGATTTCATTGACCCGTTCTTCCCAGAATTCGTTGTTCAGTCCTTTTCCGTCTCTAGCTTCCCTCCCGCGGGTAAATGCCAAAAGATAGATGTGTTTTTGTCTTACACCGTGACCTGTCGACGCCATGTCCACGCCATGTCGAGAAAACCTCTCCCTCTTGGTTTGCAGGATTGGGAAGTCGAATTGTCATGGCGTCATTGCATGGAAGAGCTGACAGCCAAAATATGGCCACAGCGTTGCTTTTCTCATCAATCAATGTCTAGGTCAACTCAAAATGACTCAAAGGATCCCTGAAGGCTAGGTCAATCAAGAGCCCTTCAGACGCTCTCATCCCCCTGAAGTCTTCTTCACAAGGAACGCAAGAGCTCGAGGGCCAATCGCCACTGGAAGGACTCAGAGTAGGAGTTCAAGAGCCGCTGGCAAGACCGGATCTCCTCGCGACTCTTCGTTCTCACGGAGATCCGACCGGGCTTTCGTCGATCAGACCGGTTCGTGCGAAGTGATGCTTCGTGCGTGACCGCGGACCGCGGGACCGGGCGGACCGGTCTGTCTAAACCAAGACCTCGGGTCGGCCTTGGAAGATCCGGAGGTGGCTGAAGAAAACATGATGTTGACTCAGTTGACTCTGGAAGAAAGGGTTTTAGGGTTTAGGGCGCAAAGCCCAAGACGCGAGGATGCTTTTTTTGCGGTTTCAACATGAACTGTCTCGCCAAAGGACATGGCGACTGAGTCACAAAATAGATTTGGAAAGTGTCCCCATACGCAAGTAACCCACCATCGGCAATGCTGGTCATCCTTCAATGTTGCCCACAGATTGGATGTGAACTCTATTGCGCTCTACTATCTACAAAGTTTGATGAATTGTCTCATCTGTCTCCAACCAACACAATGGGACCGTTTGCTCCGTCGGTGTTCGAAGTTCTCGGTCCGTGAGGCTCTGCCATCTGCTCATTCAAAGCACCGGATCGCCGCATCGCCCAGCACCGGCGAACCGCCACGAGCACGCCACGCGCAGCAGCCGCACTCGCAGCTGGGCGGCGACCGTCGGTGCGCCTGCCGGCAGCGGCCAGTGCAGCCGCTGGGTGAACGGAAAGGGAACTCTAGGGTGGCTTTCAGGTGTCGTAACTCAAAACTGGACATGAATGAGTGAGTTGAAATCGTATGTCATTCAGCTCACCTCGCCCTGTTTCCGTATAATGTCCAATGTAGATCAAAGCAGACTTAGCATCTCAAGAGCTCTGAGAATCGGACGAGTTCACCTGAGTCCACCACTTCCATGTCAGGCGGCTCCCCAAAAAAAGAAAAGGACTCTTCCAAATGGGACCAAGAGAGGTTTTTCCACAGCCCTTTCTATTTTCACCCCATCCCATCTTGACCACTACGGTCCCAGTTGGAAGGTCTCTCTGCCTCTCCTGTGTTCCATAACTTTTTTGGACGTCAGGAAGGTCGCTAGGTCTCATGACGCCCGTCGGTGCCTGCCCAAAAGCCCACCACCTTCGTCGAACCGCGCGAAGGTGGAGAACGGCGCCATTGCACGGTCTTCTTCGCTCCAAGTGTATGGAAAGGGAAGGTACATATCTGCTGTATGTCCTACTGGAAACAAACATGGCTATGAATCTATGAATACTATGGGCTGAAAAGTGGGGTTCACATGTCTGCACAGCTCGAGAGCTGTGATGCGTGATGCGTCTAAAATTCAGCCTCCTTGCCCGCGAAGTGGTCGTTTTGTGACACACTAACCGAACACCGAACACTTCGTTGGCCGAACACCGAACACCTACAGGCTCAGCCGCTCAGCCACTCTGCATGAGAGAAATTCCAGCGGCTCCAGCTCTGCATGAGAGACTCACAATGGGTCGGAGGAAATGAACGTGATCATCTTGGAGTGACCTCGACCTCGACCTCTTTGCAACATCCGATGTTGTTGGTGACAAGTTGCAACACAAGAAGCCCCTGCAAAACTGGCAGTCTACAGTCTAAGGACATTCCCATTGCTGTTGAAGATTTTGATAGAAAGCAACACCAACACCTATGGACCTATGGCGTGGTAACACCGGTGGGTCTCCAAATCAAGGCAAACATCTCTGGAATCGAGGCTCCCTGCCCCGGAAGATGGCTGGGCATCTGGCAAGGAACAGGCACCGCAGATCCACTGCAAAATGGTGGGCAGTCCGCTTCGGCGTCTAAGGGAGGATCCACCAACGCCCCCAAAACTCGCATGGAGAGCATCGACCCCGTGCCAAACGCGTTTCCTTTGCAAACTGGTTTTCAGGGTCCCAGTCCGCAGGGGCGTTCCAAGGAGCAGCCGTTCACCACTGATTGATTCGGTCCATGCAGCCAACACCACGCGTTCGGTCTTCCCCCGCGTTCGCCTGGCCACGTTCGGAAGTGCCAGCGTTGGACCGTTGGGTGTATCCGATGCTTTAGACCCACATCGTCCATTCCGGGTAGTATTTGGAGGGTCTACCATTGTACTGGCAATTCAAATCCGAATTTGGTCATTCCAAAGCAATCTACCAAGTGGCACCCAAGTAGTACCCAAGTAGTACCCAAGTGGTCCCCGGCTTCGATTCCCAAACCCTCAAAGGCTTGACGAGCCGGATTCGATGGCCTGCACTTGTACCGAACATCCAGGCGAGGGGGCCTGGCGAGGTGGGGGCGGAAGCTCGTCCGCGGTCCATCCAAATGAGAGAGAGTGACAAATGGGAGTTCCGCCGACGTAGTCTGCCGCAGCAGTTGTTGACTCGATGAACAACGGTTTTTTGTTGCAATGCTATGGCCCGTGGTTGAGAGGGAAAGACCACCCCTCCGTTCTCTACTGACAATCATGATCTAGCTGTAGAAGGAACAAGGTGAGAACAATCACACACAGGAAGGGAAAGGCATAGTCCATCATAGTCCCATCCCGAACCTGAATTGCCTTTTCCATTTTTTTTGCGATAAGGAGCCCTTAGAGCTCATGATCATGAGAAAGTAATAAGAAAAGGATGAAACCGTCCTTAAGGCACTAAGTAGACAACGTACTTCCGCGAAAAAGAAGAGGCGTTCTCCTGATTCGGGGGTGGGTCGAGTACCGGGGCTTTGATAGATCTTGTTCTGGAGTCTCTCTGTTTGGAAAAAAAAGGAACATGTAGCCTACAGCTGATCGCTCTATGGCTGATTCTCATCACCGCTTTAAGCCCTCCTCCCTCTGCCAGTAGACCCTTCATCCACACCAACCCCCGCAGGTCCTGTGCCTCGGATTCCAGAGGGAAGAACCTATATATATATATATATCTTGGGTTAGGTTTCATGGATGTGTGTTTTAAAAAAATATGTGTTTAAAGCCTCTTACACTTCACAGCCGAAGCCCAGCACCTCTTGTCCTTTTTTTCCAGCGATGGAGCTGAGTCTTTCGCCAGTGCCTTTGGCATGGACGGGTTCTTCGGGCTGCCGGCCGCCGGAACGCTTCGGGATGAGCACTGGCGACCCCACTGGCGCGGCCTTGGTTCACGCGGCCTTGGTTCACTTGCTTCCTTTCGGTTAGACCGGGACGTCCAAAAGAATTGGGATGGTCCGAAATGCCATCAGTTTTAACAGCGAAGCAGAGAAGGGACTATAAATATCTTCTTGAATTCCCAATCTGAACATATTTGGACCAATTACTGTACGCCTCTGACCAGGTGCTTGCAGCTCGCTTAGTCTCGGTCTCCCAGCAGGTGGAGAACACATGATCTGACTGGGGATTCTGGATTTGCACCCTGATTCCCAAGAAAGTTGGTCAAGAAAGTAATCTACCCAGGGATGGATGACATCCGCGAGTGTATCTTTTCTTCATCCATTGAGGAGGTCGAGGACATCTGGAGATGAAGTGAGTGACTAGAATCAACCATCACGAAGTTGAAAACAAGCGGAACCTTTCCAAAAGCGCTGCTCCGTTATCGCTATAGGAATATTGGTAAATCGCTATTAGGTTGGAGGCCATCACGCTATTGTATAGGTTGGAGGCCATCCCTACTAGGTTGGAGGCTATATTAGTAAATCAACCGCTCTGAAGTGTCCGCCATCTTTTCAGGTCCCGTGCCTGAGCTCAGGGAATTCGCTTGGAACAGGTGCGGAAGCGGATGCGATCTCGTCCGCTGTGGCTCGGCCTCCCGGGTGTCTGGCCGAAAACGAACATAGACCCGCTCCACAATGAACCTACCCTTGTGAAGGTTTACATTATGAGTGTTTATTGAAATGGGGAGACCTCTCACTTTGACCCCCTACAAAAAAGGGAAATAGACCAGTCTACCCATGAGTTGCCCCCAGAACCGCACCGAACTGGAGCGGCCCGAGGAGCCTTTGGATCTGACTCTTCCCGCAATGTCCTGTCCTGGGGGGTCTCCCTACACGCGAGCCAACGAGCCGTGCCGCGTGCTTCTGATCACCAAGCCAACCACTGGAGCTGGGTGTGTTTCCCCCATCAGTTACTTCAGACCCCGATCGCTTTGAAGAGCCGATCGGCTCTAGCTCCAGCTTCCAGCCCGCCGATCGCCTGTAGATCTGGCAGGGGTCCTGGGCACCAAAGTACTGTGATGGGAGGGATGCAAACGGTTGCTTCATGTTGTTGCCACCCAACCTGCGGATCCCTGCGGATGGGTCATGATGGTCTCTGCTCTGCTCTGAGCGTCGCTGAGCACAAAAGGTGTGGAATGAGACGAGAAAGGTGTTGGATGGGCTTTGCGACCCAAGCAACAAGCACATCTCTGGCGCCGCGGGTCTTCCGCGGGAAGGAGGGGCAGCGTGTCCGTTACCATCAATCCAGGGTGCTTCCCACATCATCCAGTTGGTGACTCATTTCACGCACCATTCTTAAGGATTTGATATGACCATAGGAACCCTTCTTGGGGCAATCAGGCATGTTCAGTATGTCAACAAAGGTTCACCTCTACCCAAAAGAATCAGCTGCCGCCTTCAAAGTGACACGGCTCCCGACCGACCCCACACTTAAGTGACCAAACATTGCCAAACCATCCAACCCTCTTGGTCCAGGGGTATCAAGTCCGGTCACCCTGGAAGAACAAGGTGGTACGTTTTTCCATGGTGTTCGGGCCATCCGAGGTCTCCCCAGTGCTAGCCTTGCAAATTCATGCAAAGTTCGAGAACCAGTGAACCGTCTTCGGTCCTTTTCTGTCTTTTTGTCTCATTCTGTCTCTTTCTCTCCTCTTTCTCTATCGCGTCGGGAAGCGCCAGCCGTCGACGCCGAACCTCCTTCGTTCGCTCCAAGCGTCCACCTCGCCCTCCTCCAACGGCCGGCGCACCATCGCCCAGTCCCGATCTGCGCGAGACCGCGAGAGATCGAGTCGAGCCCGGTGGCCATGTCTAGATCGCCTTTTTCTGGCCTTTTTGGGGCTGGAATAGGTATTGTTTGAGGTCAATTCTAGGCAACCTTTCTTCCAAGGAAGGGAATTAGTAAAGAGTGCAGCTTGGAAAGAGCCTTAAGATTCCAGCCAGAAACGGCCTTCCAAGCTCTCAGAGTCCGCGTTCATGTAATCTTTGACATGTATATAAAAGGAGTCAAAAGTCCACAAGTTGGACAGGCATGTTCTCTTGGAAGAAATAGTGGCTAAGCTTGCAAATTGAGGAGGCTCTGACCCAAGCAGGGAAGGTTCCGTGTCCTGTCGCAAAGTGCTTGAAAGCTCCATGGCCTTCCCCTAAACGCCGTGGATGTTCCCCCTTGCAAGTAGTGCGTATGTGTGCCCGAGCCACAACCTGAAAAAGGTAAAACCTGTAAAGCCTCTTCATATCGCGAGGTTTATGAATCAAGATGCTACATTGCGGCAGGCCCTTCACCCTTTCCATGCTTCTCCACCAGCCTTTCTCTGGGTGAGCACCACTAAGCCTGGCAGGAAAACTGCGCAGTTCCGGGAGTTGAGCGGTGCGACCCGGTCGCGAAGAAATCAACGACCCGGTCGATGAACAAGGAACCCGGGCCCAGCATCGACTCTCTGACTGGAGCTTGAAACCACATTCATCTACGAACCTATCCAATTCCTCTTTGGACGATCCAAATCTCTGTGGCGCAAAATGTTGCAGGCTCCAATCATTGAACAAAACAGCTGAATAAACCAGCAAGGTGTAGAACTCTAGAAACCCTGCGACCCCGGCCCCACCGGGTCGCGACCGCGCGGTCCCCGGGTCGCCCGTCCTGGCCGAGAAGACCAAAGGCCCCTTCGGGGACCTCGGTGAAGGCTCAGTGCCGAAGTGGCTCAGAGCTATGGTGAAACACCCAGACCACTTTGGATGTAGAGGATCTCAAGCTGGCGCCGGAACAAGCATTGGTTTTCTGGTTGTTGGTGTATCCAGTGAGATCTCTTTTAAAAAACCGGTCTCCAGGCGGGTCCTCTGCAAACAGCGTAGCAGAACGAATCCAAGGGCTCAATGACATTCGGACAAACTGGCACCGAGCATACCTGTGCCTCTTGGGCGGGGCTTCATAGGCTGGCAAGCTCATGCGTATCTACGTGTTGGGTGTCAGCATTCAAACGAAACGACCGAAATTGAAAGCGAGAGCGACTAGGGAAAACTGTGACAACAAAAACACAAAAAGAAGTCCTTTCCCACTCTTTCCATCTGTTTCAAGTAATATGTTCCATCGTGTTCCTCTTGTTTCTTGATATGTCCATCCTTTTGTCCACCCCACTTGATGACTCCAACAACCACTCCCAAAACTCCTCGGTGGGTCTCCCCGCGCGGGGAGCAGCGGCAACCGCAGCGGTCGCAGGTCCGCTGCCGTAGCCTCCACAAGAGCCAAGACCTGGCTCCGTCCACGCGCCCCGCGCGTCCGACCGAGCACGGGCACCTGGAACGATGAGCTGGAAGTATTAGAGTGTATCCTATACCTTCATCACTGAACTGTCTTCCGTAGGAAGAAGACATGAATATAGAAAATACCAAATCCATCAAAAGAGAAAGAATTCCGCAACAACTGAGGCTTTCTAAAGCTCCTCCACCTCTGAGATCTCTTCAGACCACACATCCTTCAACCATTCCCCACGAAATCATCCTTCAACCGCACCTCCTCCCTGACCCGCCCCGCCCCGCCCAACGCCTCCCCCACGTCCATGCACCTCCGTGGTGGATCCACGCGGCTTCCGATGGAGGCCTTCCCATTTCCTCGAGCACGTGGGGCGGCGCGGAGCGTGAAAAGCTACCGAACCGGTCGAAACGCTTCGTCCGGTGGCACCACTAGTCCGAACCGAACATAGACTGGTCTAACAGTCTCCAAAAGGAGGACCGATCCCTTTGAAGGGTGAAGACTTTGGTTCACGCGGTATCTCGGAAAAGAGAACTTCTCCTACTGAAGCTACTGACTTTGTCGGTGGGATGACTTGTGGTATGAACGGGACAACTGAGGAACCCACAGGTCAAACGGTGCAAACACATGCCCTAAAAATAACAGCAAACCCCCGGTGCATGTATCTACTAAGAAATCCAGCAAAGCACAACTGGGAGAAACTAACTCACTCCAAAAAATCAAGTTCGAAATGAAGTAAATCTCTTGACACATTCCCGGACGCACCTTCATGTTTCATGGTATGTAACGACTCATGTTGCATGGACTCCAAACATCAACCCTAGGCTTCCAACAACCCTGAATTTGTTCATGGTCTTGGAGGTCTAGGGTAAGAGAATGCAACGAAACTCCACACCTTCCGCACCTTCACGGTCTCCACCCCGGCAGAGTCACGTCCGGTCCTCCGCACTCGCTGCAGCTCGCTATGGCCCGGAGCTGCCGGGGGCCAAGGATCTAAGACCTGGACGGTCGGACGCGACGGTCGGACGGCGTCGCGCAAGGACGAGGCGAAAGGACGAGACGAAAAAAAGTGGAAGGTCTTAGAGTCTTAGATCGATTTGAATGATGGATGACGATGGATTATGACGATGTGAAAATGGGAAGTCATGGAAAGCCATGGAAAGGCCCCCTTTTGGTGGATTCCAAGGGAAGAAGCTTAAGGATGCTTAAGGTTGATTTAGATGCAAGACTCCTCCTGGGCTTTGGAGAGCCTCCTCAAGCCCTGTGATCGAAGATCCGGACCACAGCCTCCATGCTCATGAGGAGTTTGTGCTTCCTGGGAGTTCGACTCAGGCACCGTGACGTGGTGGACAACTTCGTAGGTTTGATCCTTTGGGCCCCCAAAAGTTGACCGAAATCGAGTTGAACAGAGTCACGTTTTTTCAGGGCACGTCCCGAAAGCTGAAGTAAATCAAGGTACGTTTGTACGTTTCTGAGATGTTCTGTTGAAACATGTGTCTTATATTATATATATAATATATACTACCTCAATCCAGCTCACTCCATCCTGCGAGGCGACCGTGGATCCTCTATCCTATATGGGGGTTCCGTGCCACACCCGGGCTTTGTCCTCCATGATTTCATGCCTTCTCACGCCACAAGAAGAATGAGAGAGAACGGAATTCACCCGGCCTACCGGGGTTGGTTACGAGGTGGTTCTGCTTGGGAATCCCTATCCCAGACCATCCATGTATTGTGTTCTTTGATGCCTATCTTGACCCCGAAAATCACCCCGATGTAGGAACATACCAGGACCGTCCTGTCTGGGTGTCCGACCTCAATGGACTGCCTATCTGTTTAGATCTCCAGTACACCCAGGTGGATGGTCCCAGTGTCGCTGGTCACCAAGTTGCTCGATGAGGTCCACTGGCACCACCATAGGCCGTGGGAGTTCGGGCCTGGAGTTCGGGCTGAAGCGGTGGCGGTGGCCGAGTGAAGTGCACCCCCCCATTGGGTCTTCGACGACGGCTATACCATTGCTGCCACTTGGCCGAGCTTGTGCAACACACTCTACCCTCATGTACCAAGACGTGCCCTCACACCACACGAAATCTACTCCAGCTGCAATGTTTCCCCTTACCCTTCCATACCATTCCCAGACGCGGGTCTGTGCGTGGAGCGTGCTCTTTGCGTGGAACTGTTTGGCCGGGCGAAGTCACACCGACATATCTCCTCAATTGCGCTGTCCTTCAAGAGGTTACGGGCGCAGCAGCTTTTCTCTACTCGCGCGACATGTGTGTTTCATTGCTGGCCATATCAACGCACCGCCAACAACCAACGGGCACGCAGGATCACAATTGCCGGGAACAACAAACACCTTGACGGCGTTGCCGGGAACAAAAAAACACCTTGGCGGCCACAAAAAACACCCCACTAGCGGCAACAGAAAACACCTGCGGGAACATAAAACACCTGCGGGCACAAAAAAACACCATTCCGGGAAAGGGAAACACCACGGGAACAAAACACACCAAAATGGGAACAAAAAACACTATACCCCTTCGGAAACATGGAATGACAACCGAGTCTTTGGGGCCATGTTCCAGTTCCGTTCGTAGCTTCTTGCCCTTAGTTCCGTTCGGTTCGCGATGCCCTTTGTGACGTTCGTAGCGTTCTTGTTACTAGTAGTAAGGCCAGGAGCTACGTTCGTAGCGTCCAATCGCTCCTAGTGATGAAGCAAGGGAGTGTATCTCTCAGTCAACCAGGGAGTCGATCGCTGGGGTGATCGGTGCACGAACCCCCCGGTGCAGCTTTCATCAATTGAGAGGAGGAGGTGACAGAGTTGACTCGGTCCAAGATCGCAGAGGTGCCACTGGGCAGCCACTGGAACTGCTTCCAGCTTGATCTTCCAAGATCCCAGCAGTGGGCTTGACCCAGCCTGTCTCGTAACTGTGTGTGGGCTAGAAGGCTGAAGTCTCAATGAACGTAAGCCTGTTTCTGGACCAGCGCAGGATCCAGGCCAGCTTTCAGCAAGAATGTGAACTCAAATCAACCTTTTCAACAAGCAGTGCTCAAGCGACTTCCATCTTTTAGCAGCACACGTATAGTAGCGAAGCATGTGAGTACGGCTCAAAAATGAAACCCAGCAGTAGGCCATGAAGTTGTTCTTGCGTCTGTTTACCAACGAGTTTGATCAGTGCCCCATATTGCCCACTAAAGCCGTGTGCATAAGAGAGTCTTTAGGAGGGAAACTTACATCTTCCACCACACACAAAAATCGTTGTGGAGCTTCTACAACACGTTCCCTGTCGGGAAAGGATCTCATTTTACTTATCACTTGTTACTTGTATTTATATAATCCCCCAGCCTGCAAAAGCATGGTTGATGGAAGGGCTCTGGGGTGCCCATATGTTCTTTGAATTCCACTCACAGACCCCACTTCTAGGATTCCAACGATCAGCTTCTTCCTTCCTTTTGAGGAACAAGAAGCTACTAGGGTGGAGGCCATCGCTATTAGGTGGAGGCCATCGCAAGTAGGTTGGAGTGGAGGCCATCGCTACTAGGAACTCCAAATCTCACAAGTTCTCATGCTGCGGCCCGGACAGCTCCCGCGACTGCGAGCGTGAGCGGCTCTCCAGTGCCTTGCGAGAGGCAAGCGGGACCCTGTGGGCGACCCTTCGCCGGATCGCACGATTGAACGCCCCGAGATCCAGCGAGAGCAGCCCAATTCATCCTCGGTCGTTTCTGCACCAAGTCTCAGTTGGAAAAGAACGGCCGATGCCAAGATCATCACCCATCTCCAATTGAGTGGATTCCAGACGACGAACACCACCGGCAGATTTGTAGCCACTCATCTGAGACAGAGCAAGATACTTGAGATACTTGGGAGGGAAGGATGATCATACCTAGTATGAAGTGGTGCAGCCCGAATGAGAAGGAAGACGTCAGAAGACCAGACTTTGCACTACCAGTGAAGCACTGTCTGCCGTCACCACCTGGCGACTGTTCGACTCTGAAGCCCTGGACGGCGTGTGCTGAAAGGGTCCGACCGTGGGGAGAGGTCCCAGCAGAATTTGGGATAAAAGGTTCACGGGACACCGAAAAAGCCAAGCCGGTCGCCACTTTTTACGGTTAGGGCCCCACCCCACCCAGCCCCAAAGCTTCACCCGCCGAATCAGGTCCCAAACAGGTCCGTGTGCGTCTGTGTCTGTCTAAAGGGGAGACCGACCCCGGTTCAGGAAAGGACCGTTTGGAAAAGGTTCAGGAAAGGACATGGGTGGACCCATTGGGGGACCCATGGGTGGTCAGAAAAAGTGAGTGCCACTCATCCCTTCGGTTCCCAGGAGATTGGGAACACCGTGGAACACCTTGAGAGAAAGTGAGACCTCCTAGGCCGGCCTTCCGACCCCAAACCTCCAGGAAGAAGGGAAAACCGACCCATCTACCCAGGCGATCGGGGCGAGACCAGGTGATGTGTGGGTGTGCAGCTCAAATAGGGAGATCTTCCAGTGAAAGACACCGCACGCACCAGAGGAAAATGGAGCAAAAGTGTGTCGTCCTCACGCGGGCCCGCGGAAAAAAAAACAATGTTTTTTAACGCCTAATACAGGCAGGTGTTCGCAAAGCCGCCCAAAATCTGCAAAAATAGAGAACACCATTGGTTGGAGGTCTCCATTGAATCCCATTGAATAGACACCCATTGAATCCCATTGATGTCAGTCACCTCGTGAAGCTCCTGCTCCACCTTCGAGACGTGCGTCGATCCTTGGAGGGGAGACGGCCCGCCCGAGGATACGTGGAAAAAGATGGTCTGGTCGTGGGGGTGGCTTTGGAGGGATCCATGGAGTTGTTCCTTCCTTTGGACAACAACAACAACAACAACATAAAGTGTTTGGCATGAAAGTTGCCGAAGTCAACGACGTAGCACACCCAGCTGAATGGGCTTGGTTTGGGCATCCGATGTGGAACCGCCAAATTAGCAAATCCACATGAAACCAAGGATCAAGTGAGTAACGCTCAACAAGATGGGCCGAGCATTGGATGCACCAGAAGCCATCAAAGCGCTTTCCACCTGTGCCCAGAAACCGGGATTCCCTTCTTGAACTGGTATACATCGGAAGTGGCCAGCCTGACCCATTTCTAGGACCATGGCTCCAAGCCAATCACAACCCCACTAGGGTGAAACAAACGAGTTGATCAACCCCTGCTGGTTCCAAGTGTTCTGGTCCTTCAGTGGTCCGAAACGGCCTCCCGTGCCACTGGCCATGCGCTCTGAGTGGCTCCGTGAGATGCGAGAGGCCCGGCTCAAGGCCTGAGAGGACGGGTTGCGGAGGCGGAGGCGGAGACGTCCCACGTGGCAGTTCACCAGGCGACCTGACGTCGTGAACTTGAAGTGGGGATGGATTGGATGGGAGTGAGGACAGGACAGAGGTGCTGCACTGACCAACCAGTAGACCAACAATTCGCACCAGTCACCAGCGACCAGGAGTGCTCCTGGAGAACTATGAAAAATGGTCAAAAGGTGGTGAGTGATCTTGCAGCACTCCTGCAGCACTCTTCCAGCACTTGGACCCCGTCCACTCCAGGGATTCTCTTGCGGTGCAGGACTTGCCAGCGAAACTCTCCAGCTGTACCCAAAGAACTCAAAGGTGACCGGGGTGCTTACAACAAAAGGATGCTTGTCGTACCATTGTCGCAGGAAGTCGTACCACTACCCCAAGGGTGGCCAGTTACTGGGTAGTGCTGGTCTTTTGTGGGTCATTCCACCTCGATGTCATTGCAACATGCGTCTTTTCACGTGGGACCCCCCACGTGTCATCGCTTGGTTTCGACCCAACAAAAGCTCGAAACACGGTGCGAAGTGCGCAAACCGAAGTCGTGTTTGTCCAAATCCCTCCCGTCCACCCCAAACATCCACTGCGCCTTCTTGAGGTCGGATAACTTGGGAGTATCTGCGTCGAAGTCCAGTTGGAAGATCGAACCTTCCAGGTTGATCGCTCGAAACGGTCCGTTCCGCCTCGCTCATGTCCCGGTTGAAGCGTACAGAGCTCCATCTGATCAATGTCCCACAGAGCTCCATTGAACAAATTACTCCACACCACAACCATCTAATCGAGTTTTCATATCCAAATATACAACATAAATCAGTTATACAGTGTGTGTGTGTATACAGAGAACACAAATGTGAAATATATGCATAACATATATAATATATACATATGTGCTTGTATATGCTTATATATATACATGCTGAAATCTGCCCTCCAAAGGTGTGCCACCTCTTTCTCGATTCCATCACTTCACCATAGAACGCGGCCTCGTGGAGCGACCCTTGGACTGGACACATCAGGTGCATCCTTGCATCCTCCGGCTGCGACGTCTCCTGTCCAGTGACAAGAAAAACAACGAGTTTAACCATAAAAAAGAAACATACATAGATATCATATATGATCATATATGTATATATACATATATACTGTAATGTAGTAAGAAGCAATGGCCTCCGCCCTAGTAGCGACGGCCTCCAACCTACTTGCGATGGTCTGTTTTAAATCCGGAAGATCCCCTGGCCCGGTAGACTGGTCTATTCTCCTTCTTCCTGGAAGTAGGGAATCGGAACGCCTGGGAGGTCTCCCTATGAGAAAAAACACAAAACTTGAAGGATCTTCAGGGTGTTGCATGGTGTTCCATAATCACCAGGTTCCTGAAAATCTGGATCTCTGGTCAATCTCTGAACTTCCCGATCTGAACTCGGCGATCTGAGAGTTGAATCGCTTGGGGAAACAGCACAGCTTCTCTGCCTCTTCCTGCACCTGCGATTCCTTCTCCATTACAGTACCCCATCAGTCTCGAACATCGTCAATGTTCGATGTTCCGCAGCAAACATCGTGTTTGTTTAACCTTCCAGCGGAGTTCGGGTACGAAAGGATCAAAAAGTAAAAGCATGTCCACCCCTTCGGTTCCCCTCTGAACATCTGAAGGCCTTCCCCACAAAGAACGCCCTCTCCGAAAGCATGCCCCGAGCCTTTCTCGCTGGCCTGTGGCCCAGCGTCTGCGAGCTGCTCGTTGTGATCCTGGACCAAACATTTTGGAGGTGTCCATGAAACGTCCACCAGGATGATTCACAGCCACGGGTGTCTTTGGTTCAATACAGACCGACAACAGGTCTTTTCTGGCCAACTATTCTCTGCATTGGGGCTTTCAAAACAGCCTGACCCAACTCGTCTCTTTCCCCACTACGGTGCGCACCTCCTCCACCTCCTGCGGACGAGCCGCGGGGGGGGCTTGGTGCGTGGTGGTAAATCCACCAGGTCACAACACGACATTCTGAGTGAAGTCTCTCGAAACCTCGACTGTTGAGTGGTTGCTTGTCATTCAATGAAAACATGTGATGAGACCATTATATAAGACCAAACTATCTTTCGATCAATCATCCCGGCATCAAGACCAGTTCAATGCCCTCTCATTCACAAGAGAGTGAGAGAGGTATTCATATGTTCAAGGTATTCATCGAGGCTGTCGTCCACCTTCGTAGGCTGTCCAGCTCGGCAGGGCTGGTCAGCCAAGCGATCAAGCGATCCAAAACAAGGGGACATTTGACCGAATTCAGCGGACTGCGTGATGACTTTTAGGGTGCCCCCCCTACAACCTAAGAGCGATGGCCTCCAACCTACTAGCGATGGCCGCCTCCAACCTTTGTACTTTCTGCTGAGACCCCCAACTGTCTAGCAGAGTCTAGCAGCGTGTTTGGGCTCGTTGTCCAATCGACATTGACGCATGAACTGCTCTGTTGCTGAAAAAACAGAAACAGTGAGAAGGTCGTGCAGTCTTTCTCGTGGTCGTTTCAATGGAGTCTTTCTTGGTGTGTAATGGACCTCAACCAGCCCTCAACCAGTCTCATGGTCTGGACCCTTGGTCGCTCCTACCAAACGCACCAAAACATCCCTGTGTTAATATTGGGGTAAGCCTTGGGTCCCGCATTCTACAGATCAAAAAAGAGCCTGCTTGCTCCAGCTCTATCTGTAGGGGAAATACACACCATGATACCAAAGCAGCAATCAATTCCTACAGCTCTTCCTCTGAAGCTTGTCCAACGATGACTCCATCGGCCATGACTCGTGGGTCTCACACCAGCAGGTGGGTCAAAACTCCTCCCCGTGGTCTACTAAATGGTGGGAACCGTCCATCCCACCACCGCCTCACCAAGTGCACTCCCTCGTGTCCACTGAAGTCATCATCTACATCATCCCTTGGGTCTTCTGTGGTTCTCGTGGGGTTCACGGTTGTGATTCATCCGTACTGGTCATGGACCTGTTCCCCAACCCCCTCACTCTCCCACTCTCCGCTCCTCCAGCTCCGGCTCCTCGTGCTCCTCCAGCTCGTGGCTCCTGGGTGCGGCTAGCCGACTGCCGCGCCCTGAGGGGAAAACCCTGCATTGGACAGCAAGCAAAGGGATTACAATAGGAAAGCCCAACACTGAAGTCAGTGTCGATGTCTGTAACTTGATGCTTGAACCTGAAACTCAGCCTGACACCATGGAATTCGACCAGAAACTGGTGCGCATTGGTGCAAAGAGGGCTTCCAGTCTCACCGTCTTCCCAATTCCCACTTGACCTGCGCAGAGGGCCACCGAGTCGCTCCATCTTCCGGCGGAAGGCTCTCTGAATACAAGTGGCAGCATGGTGCCTCACGAGACCAAGCAGTTGGGAAAATGATGAGTTTGGATTGGAGCAACTGACATTTCAAGACCACCTGCTCTTCCAACATGTCCCGGTTGTGTGGAAGACATCAGATGTTGTATGGAAGATGCCACTTGTGATGCCGGTCGGCCCTGCTTGGATCCCGCCATGTAAAGCAAGAAAGGGAAGTCGCAAAGCCATGTAAAGCCCCCATGTCTTTCTTTGTGACAAAATGTACGTGGTGTGTCTTTCTATCGTTTTTTTATTTTGCATTTTGGTACACCTCCAGCCCAGTTGCAACAATGTTTGGAGCTACTTCCCAGGATGGGCAATCCAGTATATCACCGGTTTCAAAGCCAAGTCCTTCTTAGGGAAAGCAGAAGATGGGCCTTCCAGGTCCAGCACCTTGCACCACCCAAGACTTCATGCAGTTCTTGAGGCCGAAATCGCACCCCATTCTCTATTTCGGGATTGCCAAGCTTCTCTGTTTCCTCCCGAGACCAACATCACCGTGGGGGTTTTCTTCTGCGACGGCAAAAAACCAAAGATCCCCATCATGTTGAACTCGGCAACTCACACCAGGAACCCCTCACTTCAGGACACCGCAACTCACCAGTGGTTAGGGACCATGATTTCACTGAAGAATCTTGATGAATCCGAATCATTCCGAATCAACCCCTGCAGACATGGATTGTAAAAAACCCTTCATATGGAGGGTTTGATTCATCAACCGTGTACCATCCAAACCCAAAAACATGGCGTCGAAGCCGATGGGTCTGTAGACTGGCAGCCGGTCTCCTGCGGCTGGTCACAGCACCTGGGGCGCCTCACATGGACTTCATACGCCTCAGAGGCTGAGCCCCGGCTACCCTGGTGATCACACGGGGGGGAATCCATGTGTCCTCAGAATGATTTTGGCCCGTTCTCCCACACAGCAGGTGGTCGTCGCGAAGCCGACCTGAAAATAGCCATAAATCACGGTGCGCATTTGCCCCATTCCCCTGGCGAGGGAAGTTCTATTTGGCGCAACGACCTCCAGCAGTGGGAGCGGGTGGTGGGGGGTGCTGCAGCAGAGGAGATCGACTGATTGGGAAGCGTGGATTCTTCTGTCTGTCCATGGCTGAGGGCCGGAGGGCTTTAACCAACCGCAAGTCGACACTTCAGAATGGTTCGAGGTTCTCTTGATCTACCCAAGTCTGCACCTCTGCACCTCGCAGTTCCCGTGTTCGAACCACGCCACGTGCCTTGCCTGAGGAAGAGTCGGGCTTTTGCTTGGATCTTGAAGGCTGCCTTTTCCTGAGTTGATTGTCCAGCTGGCTAAGGAAACATGATCATTTGAAGACACGTGGAATCTTCTGGCCCACTTGGACATACTTTGACTCATGACATCTGAATCTACCGTTGGACTCTGGAAGAGGCGCTAAAACGCGTGTGAACGCCACGAAGAAATGATACATGTGTGTGTGAGAGGTGTAGAACCAGATACGTATATCCCAAGTAAAGACCTGACTCAAAAATAGTGATAATCTTTTGCCGACTGTTACAGGTCGTGGGACTCCCTGTGTGTGTGTGTGTCACCACCTGTTCCAAAGGCATTCCGTTCCACTTCCCGTCAGACTTTTTGCAGTCTCTTTCACTCTACCGACTCTGGACGTTTCTATGTACAGCTTTAGAGGGCTGCCAAGGTGAAGTCAGCAGGTTGGGAGTTTGAAAAATGTGCACAGCCATTAAGGTGCACGCGTCACATGAGTAGAGGCAGTCTTGAATAGTGGGTGTGCTCACTTGTGTGGGTGGGTAGAGAACACCTGAAACGCAGGTCATGAGCCCAACACTCACGTCAGGCAAGGCAACGACAGGTCCTTGCTGGCCACTGTGCATCGTGGAATGTCCTTGGAGTGGTGTCGAGCACGGGCGCGCCTGCACCTCGGTAAAGCTAGAAGCCTTGGTTAACGCCAGGTTTTGCATCCGGGGATGGAAAGGAACAGCCGGGGGGGAGCCACAAAGAAAGAAGCGACCCTGGCAAAGAAAGCGGAACTTTAGTCCAATTTTGACCACGCTGGAATTTTTAAGCTGTCACCTAGCCTATCAGGAATTGCAAACCATTGTTAAAACACCTTCAAATCTGCGGACCCATCACCTTTCCTTTTGCGCTTTTTTCAGTCAAGGTCTAATGCGTGTAAAGTGGGACTTCGTACTGATCCTAGCTCTTGCGAGCAACCATCTAAGTGTGTGGTTTGCTTCTGTGGGATAAAAAAATAGAACTTCAAAACCTTAGGGAGGTCAGCCATTTTCAGCCAAAGCTTCCGCGCTCTTGAGCCACTCCTCCTGCAAGCGCTGTTGCCGCATCGTTTCCTGCCCACAGCGCATCCACTTGGGACGAAACCACAGTACGGAAGCACGAGGAAACGTTTCCACTGCCTAAGAAGGCTCCCAAAAGCAGTTTGGTGAACTACAGTAGTCTATGACGGGTAGTCTCTACAAGTAGTCCACAGTCTGAATTTCTTCGATACCGGCCTCATATCTTGGGTCTATCCACCAGTGGATGATCAATGATGGCTCAGTAGCAGGCCATTCTCCAAAATAGTGATAAATGTCTACCGACTGTTACAGGTAATAGGACAGACCCAACACATATCATCCGAATCTGAGACTCCAAAATGCGAAGTAAAGGTGGCAGGATCAAACCTCTGAAAGTCTTGCAAAATCCCCGCTGCATCACTCCTCCGAGTTGATGCATCAAATCGTCACCCCAGCTTCTTCAAAGTGACCTCTTTGGAGTGCCTAAGTGACCTTTTACAGGCCCAAGTGACCTCAAACAGGGATATCAAAAGGTCACTTTGAAGAACAAGGCCCACGCCTTTTGGCCCATGTAACTTTAAAAAAAAAAGACTCCGGTGTCCTTGATCTTGGCATCCTTAGGCGAAGGGCAGCTAGACTCAACACCAATGGATTGAACAGGGCTTCGATGATGCCACAATAATCCAGTGGCTCCAGGGTCTTCGATTGATCAGAACACAAAATCTCCAAGATCTCTGTCATGGGGTCGAGCCAGAGAAAAAATAGCTTCAGTCCATCCAGGAGGCCATTGCTACTGGGGTGGAGGCCATTGCTATTAGGTTGGAGGCCATCGCTAGTAGGTTGGAGGCCATTGCTAGAAGCTTCTGTGTTCGTCCATGCCATGTTGACCAAAGCAACGGGGCAAGACGGGAAGATCCTTCGATTCCCTCAAAAAGACATCAAAAGAAAGCCTCACACAACTGCCTGAATCCTCTCCGGACAAAAACACGGTTAACGAAGCAGAATGAAATGGACACTGCCAGTGACCCGCGCCGTCTCATGCATGCCGCTCAGTCCCGACCCCCTCGCCGTCCAGGGCGCCAAGATGGGTGACATGCCTTCGTCTTCGAAGTCAAAAAAACTCAGCATGGGCTGATCGTGCCAAGAGGGGGACGGCGCTGAGAGAGATGCGCTTGGAGAGGGAGGATGAGATGCTGTAGAGACTGAAGGAACTAAGTGAGAAAGAATTAGGTCGACAGTTAATTCAACAACTCAAAGCTCATCTCCAAAAGCATGTAGAAACAAGACGTTTTGGGAGGTTGTCTGGTCTGCGTTAAAAATCCCGTTGGCAAATGGTCCAGATTTTCTTCTGTTCCACAACCAGTGGCTATGAATCTGGTAGAACTCACAAGAAAGTCGCTACTAGGAACAAAGGGAATCGCTACTAGAAACAAGGACGCTACCAGGAACAAAGGAGTTCGCTACTAGGAGCTAGGACGCTACTAAGAACAAACGGCATCGCTACTTGGAGCAAGGACGCTACTAGGAACAAAGGGCATCACTACTAGAAACAAGGACGCTACCAGGAACAAAGGGCAACGTTACTAGGAGCAAGGATGCCACTAGGAACAGAGGGCATCGCTACTAGGAACAAGGACGCTACTAGGAACAAAGGACATCGCTACTAGGAGCAAGGACGCTACTAGAACAAAGGGCATCGCTACTAGGAGCAACGACGCTACTAGGAACAAG